ATCGATAAAAAAGGAATTTCTATTGCTAAGATTTTTGCGCTACGTTATTTTGTTTGGATTGATTAATTTCATTGTAAAATATTCTTTTTTAATCCCGGAGATATTCTACCTTTTTTTCGCTCGACCGCACAAAGACCCTGCAACGTTATATAGATATTATTCTACTCGGAATATAATAGAAATATCCCGTACCTCCGGAGCAAATTTCATATCAGTAAATGCTATTCTGTTAAATCTTATTCTGCTAAATGTTGTAAGGGAAATATTTTGGAGAATCGATTTCTTATGATTTGTCGCACAAGCATTCACACAGAGGAACAGATGATTTGCGGTGTATCACTTATTTACATCATATACACTTTAAATGAGGATCAAAAAATGGCATTGTGGCGGAATAAAATACTATTCATTGAATTTTTAGATATTTTTCAGGATCCTGTAATGATTTTATCGTATATCTCCATGGGTGATAAATAATTTGGAATCCCCATTGTGCACTATAATTTCCTCCGTAACCTTGTCGTTCTAATATTTCCTTTGTGCTTTTTTATCTAGTCGTTGACTTAACTGATATTTCTTTTGTTCTATCCACCAAAATAAATATATTCCTTATAAGCTGTGGCCATTTTGGCTAGATTATAATTTTCAATAGGGTATTTGCTATTTTTTTTAAACCTGTCAATAAATTTATCTAAATTTAAAGCATATTCTTCTTGAAATAGAAAAAAAATAATTTTCAAAAAACAAATGAAATTGTAAAATATCGCCAACACGAACCAAAGAACTTACCAGAGAATTCCAGACGAAGTCCACAAGCGAAACCTACAAAAAAAAAACGAAATTAGCAAGGAAGACAAAAAACCACTGCAAAAACCAACCCAAGAAATATATAATGCAGGCATCTAAACTACAAAGTCCAAAATCAAATTTTATTGCTAATGCAACAGGAGATTTTGCAGGGAATATAGCAGGAGAAACAGTAGGAGATATGGTAAAAGAGGAAGTAGGAAATGTGATTGCAGAACAAGTGGCGGGAAAAGTGGCAGAAGAAGTGGTAGGAAGGGCAGTAACAACTGCGGTTTCATGTTGCTGCGTGGTACAATAAAAGATGAGAGATTTGAATTAAAGGGGAGAGTTTACTCTCCCTATCTAATAAAAGCACTTTATTTAAT